AGCTTCGTGCTTGTCGAGATCCGGGCCTTGACTCTCTGCTTCAGCGTCTTTTCATTATTTATTTCAGGATCCATTAACGCATTGCCGAGCCTTCTGGTTCTACTCTCTTCAGGTTGTGGCTCCGAACTTGTCCTAATCGCGAAGTCCTTTGACTGGCCCGGTGTGTTTGCCTCCTTGCTTATCGTTGTCACTACACCAAATTTGTCCATGGTTCCAGTCTCTCTTCCGACGTGTGCCTCACTCTCCTGGATCGAACTATTGAGGCTGACTTGAGATCCAAAGTCCCCTTGCTCCTCTTCATCCTCTTCCTCCTGGGACTCACCATCGTTTCCTGCTCCTCCTCCCATGCTGAATGGAAAGATGTTTCCGAAGGTGTTCTTCATTCTTTCTGAGAACGATGATGAGGTTGTTTGTTTTCCAGTTCCGCTTGCCATCATAGTGTTGTCTGTCGGAGATCTTCTAGTTGCCGTTACTTCAGTTGAGATGTCGGACAGTTCCGACATCTCCTCTCGATCCAATGTCCCGGTGGAAGTGGCAAAATCATGGCCTTGTTCTACCGGAGTAGATTCACTCGCCAGCCTTCTGCCTCTCCCTTCCAGTCCATTTATTCCCTGGTTGTCGTTCATGGTATGGTCCGTATTGACCTCCACTTCTAACAGTTCTCTTCGCTCTTCTGAGGTCTTCTGACTTCTCGTTTCAACCATTCTGCCTGAAACCGTCTCCTCTTTATCGGACCGGGATCGCTTGATCCAATCCACAAAAGGATCGGTCATCGTTTTTCTTTGCTTTTCAGATATGAATTTCCTAGAGCTATTACCTCGTTTTGGTATCCTTGACTTGTCTAAACTCATTCTTTATTTGTCACTTTCCTATGCCTACTCTTGACTCAATTGCTAGAGACCTTATAGTTTTATTAACAATAATAATGACACAACACAATAAATTTCACCAGATTCTACTAAATAGTGACCACGAATCCCTGTATGTTGTCAGAGTACAGTTTGTATAAAATTTATTCACACTAGCCGATTATCGGTCCAAAGATCTGGAAACTAGCACAATATGATGTTATCAGTCAATTTAAAAGATAGTGTACTCACTACCCAATCAAACACAGTTTAGGTTGATTTAAAATCAAAAACAAAAAATATATATTGACACAATATGAATGTATATATTGAAAAACGTATGTGTCTTGTACTCTTAGTCGGTCGCAGTACAATAGTCGAACCTGTCTTTTAAAGAAAAAGCTTTCCCTGCTTGGTGCTGCACCAAACAGACAAAACTTTGAAGGCAGTTATTTTCTCAAGTGGGCGTCTATTGCACCCACCGAGTACTGTGTTACCTATCTGCCTTCGGACTGCCCGAGCTAGACCTACTAAAATCCTCAGGGCAGTCACTTTTCCCAAAAACGTATTATGTTCCAATCCACACCAATGAGTCACGCTCTTTTTAATTTAGACTTAGTGTCGCGAATATCCGAGTTCGGACCTGTTTTGTGTTAGTCTGGTTCTTTTTGAAAGGCAAGTTACCAGTGCAGTCACTGATACCTAGCCTGTGTATTAATAACCTAATACCTCTCGCTTTTTAGTCTTTCTTTCGTTTACCTAAGTCCTTAATAAAATAATACTCCTCCGGATTGGCACAAATAGGACCCTTCCGGACTGTCAGAATATAGACCCCTCCGGATTTGGACCCCTCCGAATTAGCAACTATAAGACCCCTCCGGATTCGGACCCCTCCGGTTTTGTGGAAAAGAGACCCCTCCGGATTCGGACCCCTCTGACTTTGAAAAATTTCGACCCCTCCGGATTGGGAGCCCTTAGCTCTGTCAAAGTAGCTTTTCGTAGTTTTCTTAATTTCAGCTTATACCCCTCTGGATACGTTCTGCGTTGCTTTTATGCCGTTTGAATTAACTGGGAAGGGTATAGGGTCCTTTCCTAGACCCCTCCGGATTGAAGTTAAGGCACTTATTTGACAATTCACACTAACGGTGAAGGGTCTTATCACTTGCCTAATTTCGACTCTATTATGGTTGTCTTGTGCCTTCAGCCCTCCCTTTTTGTCTAGAACTGTCCTAAGTTACTTAGTTCAATCGCTATCAACTTTTGGTAGAGGTATAAGGGTTTTTCAGAAAAGTTTATAAAACGTGAAGGGTGTACCCCTCCGGATTTGTGTAATTTGCTAAAAACAATCTCAAAAAATTTTCTCGCTCGCTTTTTCGAGTAATTCTCTTTCCTACTAGTAAGTTCAGCTAGTTTCTGATTTAATGGTACCAAGATTGACTCGATATGCTCTGTAGTTCCAAAGTTATTAACCAAAACGTCTTTTTTCCAAACTCAAAAATTTTCTCTCTTATAGGTTCCGCCTAACTTTTTCCGCAAATCTGGTCCTTTCGACCTAAAAATTATTGATCTGAGCTCAGAAGGCCTATACTCTTCTAGTTCAATGCAAAAGACCCGATCTAAAACGCTTTTGTAGAAAAAATTTGCGAAAAACTATGCTACCTGGACCCCTCCGGATTGATGAATCCACCAAATCAAACACGTTATGTTTGATTTCTCTGCAACCCGGAAGGCTTTCGGGTAGCGGGTTTTAAAACTCGTAGATTCACTAGTGGACGTTGTCCGAACAACTATTTTTACTGTCCTAACTCAAAGATTTCAAAAAATTTTCTGATTTTATAGTGCTTCTTACTATCAAAAAATGGGAAAATTTGGTTTTTGGTACCAAACTAGTTCCAACCACTTCCGAACTAAAGTTAACCGGTTCTCCTTATTACAGTAGTGCAGTTACGATGTAACACACTAACTTAGCGCTTTTTTCCGTTTCAAAAAATATCGATATCTCAAAAATCGCGACTTGTGGGGGGATCAAAATATCGCTATTTTGACCCTAAAAACCGGTCTGTTTTCGTTGTTTTTCACTGAAAAACGATATAAGACTATTAATATAGGCTATATAAGTAATAATATTAGTAATACTATACCCCTCCGGGTTTGTTTATTATCCGAATTAAGGTGCTTAACTCGGATATTCGCAGTTCGGTGAAGGGTCACTACAGTGCAGCACTGTCGAGCCCCCCACAGATTACTATCTTACTTTTTGTACCAAAAGGGATACAAAACTTGTTAACGATACCCAACAGTCGATTGTTGTTGTCGTTGAGCCCCTTCTTGTTGCTCCTTGTACTGCTTGCCGGATCGGTCTTCACCCAGGAACCTTCCGAATTGAGCGCAAATCAGCTGACCCTTCCGGATTGAGCGCAATTTATCATTAACGTGCTTAAATGCTCAAATAACCCTACAGTACAAGCCTCACAAACGGGCCACAAAATTGATCGTAACGATCCTGACTGATATAAATGCCTGTAACAACAATATATCTATCAACAACAAACGGGGGGGTTGAATCACATCTTGTCTGGGGGGATGATTTCTACTGATTTTTTACTTTTTTACTGTTTTTGGTTTTTTCGGTTATTTTTTATGTTTTTTGTTTTTCTTGGGTACTATACTACTTTTTGTTTGGTTTTGCTTATATCTTTAAGTGTTTTTGGTCACAAACCACTCAGGGGATGAGGGGTTCATGATTCCCCCCACCCTTCCTGGTTCGTGAATTTTCGGTCTTAACTAGGTTAAAAAACTATTCACGGTAATCCGGAAGGCTTCCGCGTTCCGAACTACCCTTCCGCCCCGGCAGTTTAGGCCTATTAAGGGCGTTAATGTGAGCATCCGCTCGGCGCGGAGTGCTCGTTAACGGTTCCGCCGGTCATGATGTTATGAAAGAATAACACCCAGGAGCGCCATAAAAACATACATGTAACATTCGCCCGGAAGATACATATCGACGGATAACAAAACTAAGTCTTAAGACGACTGGCTAGCGCCTAAACAGAGCTTTGCATGTTTTTCACCGTCTCTACCAAGCCAGTACTTTTCGGTGGTCTTTCTTACATCGGGTCGACAAAAACGTTACTGTTCTCCGGCTTCGACCAGAACGCTCAAATTAACTAAATTACATGCAAAAATAGTGAGCTCATGGCTGGGTCTCAGTATCCCCAGACCACGAGGTCACTCCTAAAAACAGGGCTACTATTTATTATATTACTATTGTTTTTGTTCAGTAGACAAAAATCATCATCTCCATCGAAGATGGATCAACCCTTTCCCCCCCCCCCCCCAACTCTTAGCACCTCATCCTTGTCAAAACTAATCCAAATATCAATTAAATTCAAGTCAGGACATGACAGGATGCTAAAAGTTCATCTGAGTCAATAAAAGTTTTCCGTCCCGAGACCCTTCCGGATTCTTGAATCCAGTGAATCAAGCTCCTTGAGTTCGAATTCACGATAACACGGAGGGCTGATTTCTTACCCTTCACCGTTGTTCGCAACGGCCTTGCAACTATTGTAGCAGCACAATAGTCGCAACTCGGAACGTTCTCCGCACTCTGCTGCTGTTTTTCTTCAATTTCGACTTCTTCAATTTCAATAGAGTTGTCCTCGTCAGCGCAACTAACGTTGTTGTTCTGTTTCCTCTCTCGTTTTTTGTTAAAATGGCCGTTTCAGCATTTCTCGGAAATGTGACGTCATCATTCGAATTTTTGAAATTTTAAAATACTAGAATATTCCAGCCTTCACCGTTTGGCTAAACGTTCCAATAACGCCCTTAGTTCATAAAAACCACCAATCCGGAAGGCTTACTGCTAAAATTCCGAATTCTGCAGAGATTGCATTTTTCACATTCTGGTCGAATGTCACATGTGTTTTATAATTGTTATGTTGAGGTAAGGCGAGTTTTAGGTTGATCCATCTGAAATGGATCAAAGTTCCACTGTCTAATAAAAAGTAACGTAACGGATTGTTCCAACCCGGTTTTTAACGGCGTTCATGTATTTTGGGTATCTAGAGACCTAAGTATGAGGACGTTCTTAATTCTAGAGTGGGGGGGATATTTTAGTAGTAGCCTTTAAGCTGTAACGGGTCGTAGTCTCATGTCACAAACGAACCGAATTGGCTCCGACTGATTTGAGGTAGAAAAACACAAGAGATAGTGTCCCTGACTCTTGAGCCAATAGTTAGAGGGCCTATTTTTCTTAAGCCTCATGTGTGACTGCAGTAGACGAATGTTACATTGATAGTTTCAATAGCTTCTTCTGATGGGTCTCTTTGACTATTGTTGTTTGTCTTTGTCCCTTAAGACTCAAGTATTTAATTACCGAAGGCCAAAACTTCTCATCTACACCCCTCTGTACTGCGCCTCTCGCACTTTCTAGTTTGACTTCAACGTCAACAGTAATTTAATCTGTCCTAAAAGAGAAAAAGCTTCCGCGTACAATATTACGGTGGTGCGGAGGACAGTTTTTACTACTATTCAGATACAAAGCTAGATATTCAATCCTGATATTTTGCTTTCCTTGGTGAGGCAATTGTCGCCCAAACAAAAATTTACAGAAAAAAGTTTCACAAATAAATAAATTTCATTCGGTCAGTTGATTGCGTGCTACGAACACATCAACCATCTACTTGCGTTTCCTGACGTCTTTTTGTAGCGTTTTACCGGTTTTGCTTTGGCGGTATTGATCCCATGTTTTTTATGAGATTTTTAATTGACACTTTTTAGCTGAACAAGTCTCCAACTGTTGCTTTATTGGTTTTTCGAAATTGAAATCAAAACCATGTATCACGAAAACTTGAGAAGTATTGCCTCGCGGTGGAAGGACCAATTAGACATACTCAAGCAAAGAATAGAAAATGAAAACGAGAAATCAAAATTTTATCAAGAACAAAAAAGTCTCTGCGAGTCAGCTGTAAAGCGTATTCGAGCAGCATGCGAGGAGAAAAAGAAAAGATGCTATGAGAACCAAATAACTATGAAGTCGTTGGAAGATTCAAAGATTGCTGCTTTGAATGCTATATCGTACCATGAGCGTCAGTTGCAGATGCAGGAGAAGTTAAATAAAGATTCAGAAGTCCACAATCAGAACGAAAGTGACGATTTCGAGAAAGCTAGGAACTTGCTTTACAGCAGAATGGCTACGATGCAGCTCGAATCATACAAAGCGACAAAAATTAAGTAAAATTATTTGCGATTTTTTGTCTTTTTAAAGGTGAAAACATCATTGATTAAAATGTTTTCGACTAAAACCGAAAACAAACAGTATTTTAAAAGAGCAATACAAACTAAAATAAAAGCAGCAGTTTAAAACAGGTAGAATAACAAAATCGAATGTATTGGAACAAGCCACTGGACTGTGGGACCAGTTTACAAAGTTACAACTTCAGAACCAATCGCGAGCCTTGTACTCTTCTTCCTTTTTCACTTGGAGCTTTTGCTCGGCTTATGTGTAACGCATCGGGTCGAGTCTCGCTGTTTAATATCAATTTTATTTTCGCAGCTATCTATGCTTATACCACGTATGCTTTTGCATCAACTGGGCTAGCGACTCTGGAATTTTCGTGTACTCTCGAGGCTACGTGGCCAAATGTCTACCCGATAAAGCTAGATTGGCATATAGAACAAGTGATCTCATGTACCACGTCATTATTATTATTTTTATTATTATGCGATGCCATGAAAACTAAATCTTCTATCTATTATCTTTTAGCTATTATATATTTAAATGCGAGCTTCACTATCTCGCCACGTTTAAGCTTTTTCAACGTATTATGTTTGCTTGTTTAACGAAAGATTTTTTTCGCGTTTAAGCTATATCGTATTTTGCAATGATTAAGATTTTTTTCTTCTATTTTCCACTTTGAAAATAGTGGTTATTTCACCGAGTTTAAAATAAGCAGCCCAATAGTGGGATGCTGTCATGTTTCCCCAAGGGGTTGCAAATTTGGTATCCAATGATGAATGCCCAAACCATTTTAGTGTTCCAGATTTTTGTGATTTTTTAAAAAATTTTCAGAAAACTCAAATTTTAAATAATTTACAAAACTTGAAGATCCCAACACTAAAGTTGGGCGCATTCAGAGTACTCTCAAGGATTAAGAATCCTGCGTCCAATTTTTTTTCCAAATTTTGAAATTCCTAACACTGTAGTTGGGCGCTGTCAGTGTACTCTCAGGGGTTGCGAATCTTGCCTCCAAATATGATTTCTCGAGTCCTTGTATTTTTCGAGATATGACGTTTTTTGTGATTGTTTCAAAAAAGTTTCAGAAATCTTAATTAATTTTTTTGTTAAATTTGAAATTCCTAACTCTGTAATTGGGTGCTGCCATGGTAATCTCAGGTGATGCGAATCTTGCCTCCAGTTATGACTGCTCAAATCTTTGTAGTTTTCCAGATATAACGTTTTGGTGATTTATTCGATATTTTTCAGAAAATTCATTTTTTTTCTTCAAAATTTGATGTTCCTAACCTTGTAGTTGAATGCTGTCAAGGTACGCTTAGACTTTGCGAATCTTGCCTCCAAATATGACTGCTGAAATCCTTGTAGTTTTTGAGATATGACGGTTTTTGTGATTGTTTCAAAAAAATTTCAGAAGTCCTAAAATAGTTTTTTTTCATCAAAATTTGAAATTCCTAACCAGGCGTCACGAATCTTGCCTCTAAATATGAATGCTCAAATCTTTTAGTTTCCGAGATATTACGTTTTTCAGTTTTTTCGGGGAACTTAGGTTTTAAAAAAATTCAAGAAATTTGAAATTCGTAACCCGTATAGAAGGGTGTTCTCAAATTAATCTCAGTGGTTGCAAGTCTGGCCTCAAAATTTCTCCAGAGGCCCTTCAAGTTTTCGAGATGACGTTTTTTATGTTTTTTGTTTCGTAAATTAGAATTTAAAAAAAAACTTAATGATTTTGAAATTACCAACCCTGCACACTAAAAGACTGCTGGTCTTGTTTCCAATATATGCAGTTTTTCATGAGTTTTCAAAAATTCGAAGCACCTGAGGTGCGTTACCCGCTTGTATATTTTGAAATGCTTAATTCATACATAATTTGGCTTCATGCTTTCAGTTGATGCCTTCAGTTTGTTATATTCCAAATTATTACATGCCAAATTCTGTCTATTTGTATTTTTTGCCACTTTTGCTGCATTGCATTGACAATTTATTGACATATTTAGCTGCTTATTTATGACTAGTGTTTGTGGGTTGTTCAGTGTTCATGGCCGAGCGGGCAGGGCGGGAGACTCCTAATCTCGATGTCGAAGGTTCGAATCTGATACGTTGCAAAGTTTTACTTATAAGAGGCTTATTTCTATTTCTTCGTTTTTCAATTTATAAAGGTGCTTTCTTGTCGTGGTCTCGCTACTTTTGTCGTGGTCTCGCAAGTGTTTGCGAAGCGCAGCTTCGCCTCTGTGTAAAATTTCTATGTAAAAATGTAATTATGAAGTCGCTGGAAGATTTAAAGATTGCTGCTTTGAAAGCTTCATCGTACCATGAGCATCAGTTGCAGATGTAGATGATAAATTAAGACCAGAACAGCTTCTGGTATTTTCGATTTTAATGATGCTAATGCGAAATATGCACAGCCTCCGGTATCTTCAACTTTAATGATGGTAATGCGGTCTTCATTCGTCTGGTTGTATTGGCTATTTTTCGGAGGCATTTGAAGAAGTCGTTGCTTTTGTCTCAAAACAGGGCTGTTTTTTTACCGGTTTTTCTATGGCCTCTCTGTCAACTTCCTCTCTCCCATTTTGCTTACCAAGGATCTTGTAGAGCATTTCACGAATGATGAGTTGGTGAAATTGAGGCAAACACTGATTTTTCTCCAGCATGCAGGTGACCTTAGTAATACTTACTGTGAAAAAATAAGCGTTGGACAAGGCATTGACAACACGATGGAAAAGTCCTTGTGCAATGTTTTTCTTGAAGTGCATCGGTGTCTGAGATTTAAGAGCGAGAGTTAGCCCAGTATCTTTTTTGTTCTTTTGCACCAGAAAGTTTCTACATCAGATCCTGTTTGTCTCTCTCGTATCCAGAAAAGGGAGATTTCCAGCTTCTTGCCATTCGATGGTGAACTTCAGGTTGCTCCAAAATTTCTCGGGTGGCACCTGGTTTTGCGCTGCTCAGAAAGACGTTAAATGAACGACCAAAAATTTTTAATTTGAGGACCTCACGTGTTTTCAAATGTCATTAGATGACGTTTTGTCTACTAAACGAAATGAAGTTATTTATTTAGGTCGTGTTTTTTTTCATGACAATTACCTAAATTCACGTGAAAGGCAAACAAGTTACGCTTGATTTTCTGTTTTCAAATTGGTTTCAATTAGCAGCGGAAGAAAAGAACTTTTCTTCTGATCCAGTTTTATAATTGTGATTGGACTTGCAAAAGTGTGGATCCTAAAAGATGTTTTAAATCCTTGAGCTTAAATTTTGTTAGCAGGATTCGAGAGCTGCGTCAAGAAGAAGCGCGTGTGGCGAATCATTGTGCAATGAATCGACTGAAGCTTCGGAATCTTCATCCGCCGGAAAAATCCGAGCTGAGAAGTACAGATTTGCTGGAAAAGTTTTTGTTAGTTCCTTGACATAAGCTTTTGGCAATTGCGGCAGCTAGTTTAATGGCTAAAATTCCTTAAAAAATTCAATGTCAGTTTTTGCTGACTGTAATATACAGTGCTGGTTTAAATTCATTTTTTTCTACTTGTGACCGAGCTTTGGCTTTTAATGAAAAAAAAGATTGATCACAATGCCTTTGAATCAGTTCATCAAATTTTTATTTGCTTCGATTCAGCCAAGAGAGCCCTCAATACTTCGGAAAGCTTATTAAAGAGAAGAAAAATCATGAGTGTCATAGCTCGAGTGGCGGTCATTTTTCCGAGGAAGAAAACGAATACTTAATTGATCAAGTAAGTTTGCAGCAGTCATCTTCAAAGAGACAAACTGAAACCTGGTCCTTCGTAGAATCGAAGCGACTCAAGTTAGATGAATCGGCAGAAATAGCTCAAGTCAAGAGGCCTCGCCCAGAAGTTGGACTAAGGAGCACGGTTAGCTCCTACTTTGAGGACAAAGTTCCAGCGAAGAAAGTGGCGAAAGTAACGGGTGTAGTGCAGCCAATACAAAGTGTGAAGCCAATGATGTTTGAATGTCCGCTTTTTAAAGAGGATGGAAAACTGGAGTTCAGTTTCGATTGAATGTTGTCTGTGCTTCTGCACGAGACCTTCCTGTCCCGTTTTCATGGGTTCAAGCAACCAATAATTTCTGTTTTCAGTAAATATTTTCTGTTTACATGATTGCAACTGTTTCTCAATCAACAAGTTTCCAGTGTAGTTTATGTTTTGTCCGACTACCAAAGATTTTAACGGCATATTTAAATCGTTTTATAGTTTGGTTAGTGATAAGTTAAAGTTTCTTAGCTTTTCCATAGGTAACCATTTGATCTGTAGGTAAAAACTATGCCTGGGACGGCTAAAGTCTTCGATTCGAATCTGGTTAGGACCTTTTTTTTTAAACGGGAAATATTCGATTTCAAAAAATTGTCGGATTTCGCTTGTCTGCTTAATTTCCTTTCACATATTTTTCTTGTGTTGTGATTTTCATCCTTTCGTGCGTTTTCGGATGGTGTTGGGCGTAAAAATTAAGAATTTCGGTAAATTTTGACATGATTTGACTCGACGAGAGGTTGCGGCTCGATAAGTGCTTCAGAATACTTATTAAATTTCGCGATTGTTTTTCTGGACATGTTTTTCTTCAAATAGTAAATCCTTTTGGACGAAATTTGAATTTCTTCTTGTTGTCAAAATTTTTTCCGACTTATTGCTTTTTTGTTTTCGATCTGCTAGCTTGCAATATGTTTTTGTTGTATAGCAAGTGGTGCGTAATTTTTTAAGTTAAAGGTGCCAATTTGGCCTTTTAAGAGTGGATTGGCCTACTTTTGTTGGCTAATTTTTGTGGGTCTACTGACGTAATCTTGTCCTCCTTTTTCTTTTAAGCAATTTAATCTTGGGAACGATTTTTATGCTGTTTTATGTTTCAAGGAAAGTGTCGTAAGAAAACTTCGAATTCCAAAAATTCGATGATAGTATTTTTTTCCGGCTACTCATGTGTTGCCGGCTTAGTTGCCGATCAATAAATTTTATGAATGTTTATCTAACGCTGGCAATTGTGTTTCTCGACTTGTTGTCATAAAGAAAAACTGTTTTTTAGTAAATTTCTTATGAAAAAAGTTTTGCTTTGGCTAAACTGGCGTTAAATATATATTTTTGGCTTAGTTAGCTCTCGATATTTTTTCTGAGTGCCTATTTATTGCTAGTGATGGTGTTGATTGGCATTTTCACCTCAAATTTAACATCATTCAAGATAAACGTATGACGTTTTCGTAGATTTTGTTTTTTCGTGGTTGTTAATTCAAATTTTTCATTGACCTAGTTTAACGTATCTTTTTCTGTCCGTTAGCTTACAATGCTATGTTTGTGTAGTATCGCAAGTGGTGTGAAGCTCCGCTTCGACCCTGAGATAAACTATTAATTTAATCTTCTGGGTTGTTAGTTCTAAGCTTCTAACGATCGTATATATGAGGATGGAATTTTGGACCGTGACATAAACAATACTTTTTGATGATGATTACGAATTGTATATATGAGGTTAGGCTATATTTGAGCCTCGCAAGAAATTTTATTTTGCAAGCTTGATTGAATCGAATCGTAAGTCTTTTCTGGGCAAACATCTTGTCAAAGAGACTCACTGAATCTTTGGTGCCGACAGACTTATTGTATCCAACAGACATATTTTAAGAATATCTGAATTTGATTATATGTTGTGTTTATGTTAATAGTAAGTTAACTTGTTTTCATTTCTTTTGTATGAGCAAGTGTTTTTGTAATCGGGAGCAAATGTTCTCAAATCTGTAATAAACGTGCAGTTACTTTCACATGCACGCTGCTGACATGCTCATCTTCTTAAACATCCTAATAAAATACCATCATTCAAAATGTAACTAGAAGGATTTCGTTTTCGGCAGTAATGACTTCTCGACTAAATTCATTTTTAAAAATGAAGATTTTCGGTTTCATGGTTTTTGTCCTAATTTCCGTTGGTTTATTTTTGTTTTCTGTTAAGCCCTTTTACATTATCTGCTAAGGTTTTATGGGCTTTATTTCCAAAGTATAGGTTTTTTAGAAGTTTATATTATAATTGAAAGTACTGTTTTTTGCAAATGTGCTAGGTCTGATTTTGATTGTTTTGATTTCCCCTCAGATTATGTCGGATTAGTCAACTTATGTTGCTTAATTTTTAGGGCAACTGGTTCATTGTGTTTTCTTCTGTTTCAGTAGTAATGAGTCGTAAAACTTGAAAACTAGTAGCTCAACATTTTTTTAGCAGCAGTGTTGTTTTCGGCTGAACGGGGATCGACCCAAATTTTGTCGCCTTAGTTGCCGCTTGATAAATGATTCCAATGTTTTTGAATGTTATTTATAACAATCACCTGACACAAACATTACCTCTTTAACTTGGTTTTATTTTTGCTTCTTTTGACTATTTTGCATTGAAATAATTTTTTGGCTGGTGTTAACGAATGTAGTGAAGATGCTTACATAATTCGAGGTGATTTTTTCGAAAACAAAATTTGATGTTTAGCTGTTTGACTTAGGATTTTCAACTCAGTCAAAACTCATTTGCTTAAGAGAAAAGAAGACAAATTTCTTTCTGAAATACGAAAGCGGAATTGGTGCGATAAAAAATATGAAATACTGAAAGTTACGAAAGTGGTTTTTAAGCTTTCTTGCAGGTTAACAAACTCAACAATTGATTCAAACTCTCCAAAGAGCTTCAAGGCTTTATACATTTTTCTGTGAACTTTCAGTATTTCAGATTTTTCTTCGCACCAACTCCGTATTTCAGAAAGAAATTTGTCTTCTTTTCTTGTCTTCGAAAGTTGTACCGCAAGTGGAGTGAAGCTCCGCTTCACCGCTGTGTAACTTACATAATGGCCAAAATAACTAATGATTGGCCATAAAACTCAACCCAGCTATTGAATTGAGCTCTCTTGATTATTGAGTTCTTTATTACACTCGCGACAGCAAGTGACTTGTCATCAGGACTGTGAAAGCCAGTGACTTGTTTTCGGGAAGTATACGTTTTTTTAACGTAAATAACGTTTCTTAAAAATCTTACTTGCTTTTTTATTGAAGCTGAAAAACTTTCAGGTTCGTTCCCACTTGGTCTGGAGGTAACGCCTTTGCCCTTGACCCATAAGGCTAGGGGTATGAGTCCCGACAGGACCTAGATTTTTCCAGCATGTATTCAGTTGAAGTTTTTTCCGGTAAAAAATGAATTGTCGTTTTTCGTTTATCTGCTCGTTTTGTCGGCTTAGTTGCCATATCCTGGAATTTGCTTGCATTGTAAGCAACTTTCATTGTAGTTGCACGGGCAATTGTTGTTCAATGTAGTTTCAGGGGGCTTGAACTTGAGAAAAATAAATAACATTAATTTTTCCTGCTCAACTTGTGTCTGCTCGAATATTGTCTGCTTAGTTGCATTTTTTTGTTCTTTAAACAACGGCTCTTACGGTTTTTAATTATTTCATTCCATGGATTTTGTTTGTGCTATAAACAACTTTCATTGTATTTGCAAAAGCAAGTGTTGTTCAATGTAGTTTCATGGGGAATTTGAAAAATTTTACAATTTTTTTGTTAGATAATTCTTTTCGGCTCCACTTGTCTGCTTAAAGATTGTCGGTTTTGTTTCCTCGTGGTAAGTGTTCTTCTATTGCTAATCTAATAATCAAATATGGCATAAAATGAAATTCTACCGAGACTTATTTGTAGGCCTAGCTTTTTTCAACATTTCTCATTTTTTTCCTCGTTTCTCATTTTTTCCGATGTTTTTTTGTTAGTAACAGTAATTTTTTTCGGTGTTTACCACTTTCACAAAACACCGATGTAGCAGAATAAAATAATTTCGAAACCTGCGATTTAAAACATAATTATTGATAACTGAAAAGAGAGGTTGGGCTGCCTTTCAGATCAGTCTTCTAGAGTGAATTCATTTGGGCCTCGGATGTAATCGGCCAAAGAGATGTTTTTTTTTCAGATGCTCTTGCTATCTGGGCTTCTGGTATGAATCTGTTATTATGTCTAACGGGGAGTGTAGCTACTATTAAATTGTCTGAGCTCATCGCACTTCTTGAGAAATCTATAGAAAATTTAAGTATCAAATTAGTTGCGACCCAGAAAAGCCGTCATTTTTTAGACGAGGAGGATGAGGTTTTGAAAAAGTGGGAGCTTTTTACTGATGAAGACGAGTGGAAGTCGTGGGCGAAACGAGGCGACCCTGTAAGGCACATTGAGCTGAGAGATTGGGCTGAAGTGGTTTTAATTGCCCCTTTGGGTGCGAATAGTCTGGCTAAAATAGCAAATGGACTGTGCGATAACTTACTCACATGTATTATTAGAGCTTGTTCGCCTGGCAAGAAAACAGTTGTCTTTTGTCCAGCCATGAACTGTGGCATGTTGGACCATCCTCTGACCAGAGATCATTTGAGAGTGTTGGTTGAGGTGCTCGGCTTCCGTTGTGTGCCTTCCATTTCAAAGACTCTGATCTGTGGCGAAAGTGGACAGGGTGCAATGGCAGAAATCGAAACTATAGTGCAAATTGTTTATGAAATCAACCGGAATCTGTAACAAAAGAAGCATAGCGCAGTTTTAGTTGAGCTTCTGTGATAAATGTTTATTTATTCGTCTTTATATTCAAAATTTTTAAAGAATATCAGAAGCGTTGGTTACAAAAAACATGACCATCCTTTTTTATATATTTATCTCATGTTGACATATATTTATCTGAAATAGCTGATATAGATGATGTTTTTATGGAGACTTTGGATGCATGTTATGGGTGGGTTTGGAAGAAATAAACAAGTGTCTTCAGATTGATTTGTAGAATGTCTGTGGCCAGCAGATACCCCAAGTTCGGCCAGTTCAATGCAGCCATAGGGAGTCGGGTGCCGAATTCGATTGAGAAGTACCCCGAGTATCAGAAGCTGAGACCCAACCGGGAACTGTTGAAGAGGGAGCAGCTGGACCTGCTGCACATTCTACGAGAGAAGATGCATTTGGACGTGACAGAGTTGGTGCCCGAGGAGAAGACCCCCCTCTGCTGCTTCGTAGAAGACCTAGGTACACTCACACTTCTTCCATCCTTTAATTATTGGTACGGTTGAATTGGATTTAAACACTCTGAACTCTGTTTTCTCATTACAATGTTACTTAACTCAACTTAAAATGCCATTTTCTGCTTTGTGTTTTTCCACAAAATTGTAATTCCACTAACAGTAATTCAGTCAATAAAATATAAGTCGGGGTTGCGCTCACGTTAATTGCTTATTATGCCAAATATTGTACTAGAATTTGTCCCGTTTTAGTGAGTCATTGACATGCTTTTGGTCCATGAACCAACTGTGTCGAAATAAAAGGCTCTTCGGCTGAAATGAATGAAAATATCTTATTGCTTTCAGCAATTGTGTTCAACGGTAAAGCGTTGTTGACTCGCGGTCTTAAATCGGGAGACCCCCGAGAACTGGAGATCAAGTCTCTCAAAATTGCCCTGAAAGACTATGGCATCGACATTCTGTTCATGGACGACTCTAGTGCCCTAGCAATGACACCCCCACTGGAAATGAACGGAGCTGCGGCGACGGAAGAGATGGAGAATGGGGTGGGGGAGAAAGAAGCGAAGCGGATTGTGGGTGGGGACGTGCTCTTCACCGGCTACGAGTTCTTTGTGGGCATCAGTTACTTCACAAATGTGGAGGGCGCCATGGAGTTCGCTTCCAAGATGACGGACCTGGCGGTCACTATAGTGAAGCTGCCCCTTGACAAGAGCAATGATCCCGAAATGTATGTTGAAGTTAACATTTGAGTTTGTGACATAATTATGCTGCAAAAAATGCTCCTTTTATTAAATATAATAGCAACGGGTGTCGCCGGCTCTGAATGGTAATTTGTGAGAGGAACAGAAGAAGAAAAAGAATTTATTCCTCGTTGATATTCATTTTTAACAAAATGAATAAAATATAAACACATCAGTAACAAAGAGCGGACAGCTAACGAACATATACCGGCTGCAGTGTGCTGCACTGAAATGCTTTGAGTATCAAGAGGCTAGTGGGGGTGCGACATTTTAATCTAAACTCTATCATCATTTTTGTCACTACTGAATAAAAATAAGTTCCCCCAAGTTTGCTACTGAGTAAACTTCTTAATAATGAATGATACCAAATTCAAAAATACAGTTGAAGGAAAAAAATCGCAGAAACAGCTAACAAAAGTTCGAGTAACTTCAGCTTTAATGTAGTTGGGATAAAAACGGAATCAAAAGAGAGGTAATTACTAACAGACAGAGAAGTTTTAAGGGCATGGATGGGAGAAATGGATGAGAGGTAATTGTGATTTGTCTGTTTGTTGTGTGATCAGAAAGTCGCGTCGGCTGAAGGACTACATCTCGGTTGCGTGTGAGGGACTGATCGTGTATGCGGACACAGCAGACGGCAACTTCCTCATGAAGCAGATCATCAACAACTCCAGCTACGACTACAACACAGTGCGCATGAGGGCAGAGTTCCTGTCCAACTGCATATACATCAACGGGTAGGTGGTCACTGGTCAGCCTCGGCCACTCATTCATTCATTCACTTCACATCCCATACATCCTTATCCTTAACACCCATACATACATATCTCACTCTTATTCGACGAGAGACTTGCGTGATCCGGTGGATAGAGCCAGGGATCAGTGCTTAGTCCCCGCGTGTTGCCGGAAAGAGAGAGAGAGAGGCAGCAATTCTCAACCTTGCGATGTGAAATAGCGCATGTAATTCTTACGAAGGATTTTTGTTGCGAGACGCACTACGGATCACATCGTACAGACCTTCTCTTTGCGCTTAAAGTGTTTTAACTTTTGATCACTCAATTTGAAATCGGCAGCTAGGAAAGACACTAAGTAGTCTGTGTAGCCCCAATCATTTATTTAAGAATCGACAAAGAGTTATGTTTTTTAGCCCACAATTTTTTCAACAAAATTAATTATTTTTTTTAAACTTCTTTTGAGACAGATTGTTTTTTGAAGTTTAGCCTTTTTTTCCGTCACAAGTGTCGAGAAGCTCCGCTCCGCAGTGTTAGCTTATTGCTCTGCGACGAGCACGGATCATGGCCTGTCTGAAAACACCGACCTTTCGATTGTGAGGCGGTTGCACATCCACTTACTTCGCATCAGCTCCTATTATGTATTTGACTCGTGTTGTTTTTGTAAGGAAAAAGTCTTGAAAGATGTTCACGCTCAAAAGGTTTTTTAACGGTCTTGGTGATCACGCTCAGTAGATTTGGCAATTTGATGAGCTTTAAGGTGATGTTTTTTTTGCTCAAATTCAAATCCTTGTTTTTTGAGAGTCGATGAACGTAGTTCAGACTCTTATATAGGTCGCGCTTATATCTTTTCGTTTTTTTGTCTAGGAAAGACTTTAATTTTGTTCTAGCTCAAATTTAATTTTTCGCGGTATTGCTTTGATTTCTGAAGTTCAGCACAGTTCCTTGTTTACACTTGCGAAGCAAAGTGTATTAGAACGAACTTCCTTTTTTTGGAAATTTAGCCTGCACAGCTTTTTGATAGAATGTGCTTTGACATTCGAATAATAATAAGTTAACACAGTTGATGCATTTTGAATTTACCAAAGGAACCGAAAAAAGCTATTTGTTTCAAACAACATAACTATAATTAAAACTACATAGCTATAATTAAAACTCAATTTCAGTAATTTTCCAACTCAATATAACTCGCAACTCACAATACATAATGTGGCTGTATGCTTTCTGATTTGCTACATCTAAAGTTAGTCTGGATGCTTTGAGTTTGTTATATTCAAATTTATTACTTTTTGTATTTGGTGCTACTTTTGCTGCATCGAATTGGCAATTTATTAGCATATACAGCTGCGTTAATGACTACTAGTTTTTGGGGTTTTAAGCCTCCGTGGCTGATTGGTTAGTGCGTGAAACTCAAATTTGCTAGATCGCAGATTCGAATCTCACGCGTAGCCGTGTTTTTGCTAATTCGAGGCCTATTCCTACTTTTTCTGTTTTCACTTGATAGAGCTGCTTCTTGGTCGTGTTCTCGCAAGTGTTTGCGAAGTGCAGCTTGGCGTCTGTGTACTAAGAGGGCAAACTCTGCTATCGAACTACAAAAGTGTAAAGATCACGAAAATTGTGATCGACTTCTACTTTCGAAAGTGGAATTTAATTTCCAGATTCTGCTGCGAAATAAAAATTTTACCTGTTGATCCAGTTCTCTCAAAATAAATTGTTCTAGAAATTCAAAGAGCTTTACGGCCATATATTTTTTCTTTGAAATTCGTAAGTTGAGGTTTTTATCAAAAAACAAGTCAGTACTTTTTTTCTGTTTTTTGTTGCATTCTTTTTTTCTTAAAAAATCTTAAAATTTCATCACGCGCAACACGAAAATTAAAAGGCCACAAAGGCTTCCCTCACTAGCAAGTTTTACACAATGTTTGCTTACACTATCGGTTTGTTATTAAAGTTGACATACGAACTAATTAGGCCATTACAAGCATTTTTGCGCTTTATACTAAACCTTGTAAAACCACTCACTACACCAAAAAAAGTGATGTATATGCGCGGTGGGTAAAAGGAAAAAGAGCCACCACGAAACTCGTGATCAACTTTAGTTTCGAAAATGGATTTAAGTTTCAGATTTCCCCAGCTGATAAAAAAATTTGCTTTTAATCCAGTTTTGTCAATTTTATTAATTTTCTCGGAAAAAAATTAAAATAGGTTTTTCTTGAAATTCATATACATCTAAGTTTATAAATTTTTTCTTTGAAATTCGTAAGTTTTTTTTTTTGAAAAAACAAGTCCGTTTTTTTCGGCTTCTTTGCATTCACTTACTCGTCTGTCGGCTATGTTTACCAGCTGACTGTTGGATTTATTTTTATGAGTCGCAGGCACTTGTAACCGTTTCGAATACAAAACTTGATTTTGTTCACAGCGGTAACTGCCTCAAGATTTGATGATATACTTCGTAGATGGATGAGTGATTGTGTGTGTCTGGCATCATAAAAGTTGAACCATATACAATGTAAATTTTGTTCAAAAATGGACCGTTGTGATACTAATCCTTTTTCAGGTACTTGCTCTATCCGGACACCGGCAACACACTGTGTGCGGACGGGGAGAGTGACTACAAACTACTGGACCAACTCATATCCAGAATACCAGTGCCCGCCTCCGAGTTCAGCCGAGTGAAGACTGCTCTGAGTCGCCGAGTGCTCATATTCGACGCACCCCACACACACGGCGCCCGGCGTCACTTCCCGTGAACTGAAAGTGGAAGAGAACAAAGAAAATTTGAAGTCAGGTTTCAGCCGCCCATCCTTTGATCAATCTGAAAATTTAACCTGCCCTAGAAACTGCACTCGATGAAAATGGATATTGAAATTCGGCGTCGTCGTTCTAGAAGCAAAATAATCAGCTTATTTATTTTAACAAACGAATAAATTTATAAACTCCTAAAGCTTAATGCTTGATGGCACAACTTCGTTCTTGGATTCTATCTTTGCAACTTAGTTGCAGTAGTAGCAACATACGATTATTGATTTAAGAGTCTCTATGTGGTAGAATTTCTTTTGTAATTTATGAAAGCTTTAAATCCTCCTTTTGCACAATAGATCCATTCTGATATTGACTGAACTAAGAATATCGTTCTCAGGAGTAAACTGAGGTCAATGACAAGTTCAAATTCAAATTTAAGCTGAAGTTTGAGGGTCAATTAAAGAATTGCATTATTTTTCTAATGCGATTGGTTGCATGTGAAAAAAGATTTTATACAATATATTGCAAGTTAAATTGGACAATATTTTGGTTAATGAGTTTTAAATTTAATTGAATGCCTTTACTTTCCAATCATCTTTGAAAATAAATTTATTTGCTAATTCTCCATTTTTAAGGCAATTTCAAATTGCTTATATGAACAACACGTTACCAAGTTCTAGGCACTTTTTTAAATCAGTTCAGTCGAAAAATCCAAAAGGAATAAAAACCTGGGGGTTTTAATTAGCTGGCTGAAATGAGAATGAAATAGTAATTTGATCAAATTATTCCGGAAAGTGCCAAGCTGAAGACTTGGAGTAAGTGCAACCGTGGAACGAAAACAACATGTTTGAAATTGCTATCTTTTTCGAGGCCCTTGCTCTTTGTGTTTCGAAAAAAAAACGATGCGCAGCCCTGAATTTAGTACGCTAGTGGTTAATATGCATGGTCAAATTGGGACATCGATTTTTCTGGTAAACAAATTGTCTAAGAAATTGATAGTTTGATAGATTATTAATTTGATAGTTCTCGCAACTGATGCTGAGCTCTTGAAGTAGAGATTACGTCCTTGCTTAGTGTGACAGGTCTCTCTTCCGAGCCCGTGTAGCACCTGTGCTTCTACTCAAACTGAAAATAATCGGATCAGCTGTGACAGTCTGATCATCTGACTTCGTATCTCGTAGTCGACGACTCTGTAATTAAAATAATTTTTTCTTTTTTCGAGGCGTGTTTTTCATTCAACTTTACTGTCAGTTTTAGAGCTTTGGCCTTTTTTTACTTGCGTGTTTAACTTCTGTGTCCTAGAATTCAACGATGGAATGCAATAAAAACTGTTTTCCCCTTTTGTAAATCATATTGACATTGTTGCTGGTAACGCAGTTCCAATAACTTTTCTGAATTTTTGCACGAACCTAATTTGAAGAAAATTAAAGTTAATTAGATAAAAATATTTTCAAAATTTAAAAAACCACATAAATTTGTACTTTCAGGAGCTCAATTATCGAATGGGTCCAAAATTATCGGGGAGGGGGGTTGTTTCTTGAAAAAGTTTACGAAAGGATATTGAATTCCTGTTTGATAAAAACAGGTATTGTGGAAATGTATGAGTTTTATTTTTTTTAAACTTTTTTTTGAAGCTTTGAAATATTTTTTTATTTTTAGTTTTTGTCGAAAAATGAATCTTCGATTTCCTAACAAGTACTAATGGAAAGAACTCCCAATACCTTGCGTGCATGCATATACACTAAGTCTCTTTTAAGCGTACCCCACTTTACTGCCTTTCTTTTTCCTCGAAAACTACAATAAATCAATCTCAGATTTTAGGTTGAATGGATAGTTGTGGGGAGCTCTCCTGCATAAACTGTTACGCCCAATTTTGTTTTGAAAAGTTATCGTCCTCGGAAAAATCATATTCGTGATTTTTTGACCGTTTTTTAAAACTTTTTGACTTGTTTCGATAACTACCCTCCCACATCTGAGATTATGGGTTCAATCAAAAGGATGGTCTAGTGGGAAGCTCCTCTGCTTAAGCGGCTTTTCAAAAAAAAATTTTACAAAAGTTATGGACCTTGGAAATGTCAAAATTTTACCCTTTTTTTTCTTGAAAACTTTTATAAAAATGAACATTTGAAATTTAAGATTATGACTTTAATGGAGATGACGGGTAGAAAAAAGCTTCCCTGCATTAATTGCAGCTCACAAAGTTTTTAACACATAAAGTTATCGCCCTCTGAAAATCATTTTTTTTATTCTTGTTCGTTTCATTAAACTTTTTGATATTCTCGAAAAATACCCTACCGTATTTGATATCAGGGGTTTAATTGAAGCGACAGGTAGCGTGAAGCCTCCGCGATAAGCGACTGCGCCTTGATTCTTTCTTAAAAATTGTTATATGTCCTTGGGAAAATTTCAAAATCTATAAAGTTAAACTCTTTATTATATTGGAAACAACCAAAGTTTTGGGTGAAGCCCAATTTTTGAAGTTTCCATTTTATCCAGCATCAGTACAATCAATTCAAAAACATTAAAAGGTATCTTCAGCTTGAGGTGAGCCCCTTTTTAAATCTAATTTTATATTAAAGCCACAAATATACGCCGCAGAGACAATAGCGATTATGTTTTTAGAGTGACTCGGTGAGCATAGCACCATCCTTGAATTTGGGATGCCACTGGCATCTGCCTCGATCCTGGTGTTGACATTTTTTCAAAATTTGAATTTGGGGTCCGTTTTTATTGGTGGACATTTATTTCTTTAAGTGAAATCATCTATCGCGGGGGGTAGTGGTGGTTCCGATTATTAAACACCTGAAAGTGCATGACGATCTCAAAGAAGATCTTTCTTTGCCTTTACCCTAAATTCCTCAAAAGCTAATTAAACTTGCACTGATTATCTTTTGCTCTGAGTCGCCTGCTCTGAGTCGCCGAGTGCTCATATTCGACGCACCCCACACACACGGCGCCCGGCGTCACTTCCCGTGAACTGAAAGTGGAAGAGAACAAAGAAAATTTGAAGTCAGGTTTCAGCCGCCCATCCTTTGATCAATCTGAAAATTTAACCTGCCCTAGAAACTGCACTCGATGAAAATGGATATTGAAATTCGGCGTCGTCGTTCTAGAAGCAAAATAATCAGCTTATTTATTTTAACAAACGAATAAATTTATAAACTCCTAAAGCTTAATGCTTGATGGCACAACTTCGTTCTTGGATTCTATCTTTGCAACTTAGTTGCAGTAGTAGCAACATACGATTATTGATTTAAGAGTCTCTATGTGGTAGAATTTCTTTTGTAATTTATGAAAGCTTTAAATCCTCCTTTTGCACAATAGATCCATTCTGATATTGACTGAACTAAGAATATCGTTCTCAGGAGTAAACTGAGGTCAATGACAAGTTCAAATTCAAATTTAAGCTGAAGTTTGAGGGTCAATTAAAGAATTGCATTATTTTTCTAATGCGATTGGTTGCATGTGAAAAAAGATTTTATACAATATATTGCAAGTTAAATTGGACAATATTTTGGTTAATGAGTTTTAAATTTAATTGAATGCCTTTACTTTCCAATCATCTTTGAAAATAAATTTATTTGCTAATTCTCCATTTTTAAGGCAATTTCAAATTGCTTATATGAACAACACGTTACCAAGTTCTAGGCACTTTTTTAAATCAGTTCAGTCGAAAAATCCAAAAGGAATAAAAACCTGGGGGTTTTAATTAGCTGGCTGAAATGAGAATGAAATAGTAATTTGATCAAATTATTCCGGAAAGTGCCAAGCTGAAGACTTGGAGTAAGTGCAACCGTGGAACGAAAACAACATGTTTGAAATTGCTATCTTTTTCGAGGCCCTTGCTCTTTGTGTTTCGAAAAAAAAACGATGCGCAGCCCTGAATTTAGTACGCTAGTGGTTAATATGCATGGTCAAATTGGGACATCGATTTTTCTGGTAAACAAATTGTCTAAGAAATTGATAGTTTGATAGATTATTAATTTGATAGTTCTCGCAACTGATGCTGAGCTCTTGAAGTAGAGATTACGTCCTTGCTTAGTGTGACAGGTCTCTCTTCCGAGCCCGTGTAGCACCTGTGCTTCTACTCAAACTGAAAATAATCGGATCAGCTGTGACAGTCTGATCATCTGACTTCGTATCTCGTAGTCGACGACTCTGTAATTAAAATAATTTTTTCTTTTTTCGAGGCGTGTTTTTCATTCAACTTTACTGTCAGTTTTAGAGCTTTGGCCTTTTTTTACTTGCGTGTTTAACTTCTGTGTCCTAGAATTCAACGATGGAATGCAATAAAAACTGTTTTCCCCTTTTGTAAATCATATTGACATTGTTGCTGGTAACGCAGTTCCAATAACTTTTCTGAATTTTTGCACGAACCTAATTTGAAGAAAATTAAAGTTAATTAGATAAAAATATTTTCAAAATTTAAAAAACCACATAAATTTGTACTTTCAGGAGCTCAATTATCGAATGGGTCCAAAATTATCGGGGAGGGGGGTTGTTTCTTGAAAAAGTTTACGAAAGGATATTGAATTCCTGTTTGATAAAAACAGGTATTGTGGAAATGTATGAGTTTTATTTTTTTTAACTTTTTTTTGAAGCTTTGAAATATTTTTTTATTTTTAGTTTTTGTCGAAAAATGAATCTTCGATTTCCTAACAAGTACTAATGGAAAGAACTCCCAATACCTTGCGTGCATGCATATACACTAAGTCTCTTTTAAGCGTACCCCACTTTACTGCCTTTCTTTTTCCTCGAAAACTACAATAAATCAATCTCAGATTTTAGGTTGAATGGATAGTTGTGGGGAGCTCTCCTGCATAAACTGTTACGCCCAATTTTGTTTTGAAAAGTTATCGTCCTCGGAAAAATCATATTCGTGATTTTTTGACCGTTTTTTAAAACTTTTTGACTTGTTTCGATAACTACCCTCCCACATCTGAGATTATGGGTTCAATCAAAAGGATGGTCTAGTGGGAAGCTCCTCTGCTTAAGCGGCTTTTCAAAAAAAATTTTTACAAAAGTTATGGACCTTGGAAATGTCAAAATTTTACCCTTTTTTTTCTTGAAAACTTTTATAAAAATGAACATTTGAAATTTAAGATTATGACTTTAATGGAGATGACGGGTAGAAAAAAGCTTCCCTGCATTAATTGCAGCTCACAAAGTTTTTAACACATAAAGTTATCGCCCTCTGAAAATCATTTTTTTTATTCTTGTTCGTTTCATTAAACTTTTTGATATTCTCGAAAAATACCCTACCGTATTTGATATCAGGGGTTTAATTGAAGCGACAGGTAGCGTGAAGCCTCCGCGATAAGCGACTGCGCCTTGATTCTTTCTTAAAAATTGTTATATGTCCTTGGGAAAATTTCAAAATCTATAAAGTTAAACTCTTTATTATATTGGAAACAACCAAAGTTTTGGGTGAAGCCCAATTTTTGAAGTTTCCATTTTATCCAGCATCAGTACAATCAATTCAAAAACATTAAAAGGTATCTTCAGCTTGAGGTGAGCCCCTTTTTAAATCTAATTTTATATTAAAGCCACAAATATACGCCGCAGAGACAATAGCGATTATGTTTTTAGAGTGACTCGGTGAGCATAGCACCATCCTTGAATTTGGGATGCCACTGGCATCTGCCTCGATCCTGGTGTTGACATTTTTTCAAAATTTGAATTTGGGGTCCGTTTTTATTGGTGGACATTTATTTCTTTAAGTGAAATCATCTATCGCGGGGGGTAGTGGTGGTTCCGATTATTAAACACCTGAAAGTGCATGACGATCTCAAAGAAGATGTTTCTTTGCCTTTACCCTAAATTCCTCAAAAGCTAATTAAACTTGCACTGATTATCTTTTGCTCTGAGTCGCCTGCTCTGAGTCGCCGAGTGCTCATATTCGACGCACCCCACACACACGGCGCCCGGCGTCACTTCCCGTGAACTGAAAGTGGAAGAGAACAAAGAAAATTTGAAGTCAGGTTTCAGCCGCCCATCCTTTGATCAATCTGAAAATTTAACCTGCCCTAGAAACTGCACTCGATGAAAATGGATATTGAAATTCGGCGTCGTCGTTCTAGAAGCAAAATAATCAGCTTATTTATTTTAACAAACGAATAAATTTATAAACTCCTAAAGCTTAATGCTTGATGGCACAACTTCGTTCTTGGATTCTATCTTTGCAACTTAGTTGCAGTAGTAGCAACATACGATTATTGATTTAAGAGTCTCTATGTGGTAGAATTTCTTTTGTAATTTATGAAAGCTTTAAATCCTCCTTTTGCACAATAGATCCATTCTGATATTGACTGAACTAAGAATATCGTTCTCAGGAGTAAACTGAGGTCAATGACAAGTTCAAATTCAAATTTAAGCTGAAGTTTGAGGGTCAATTAAAGAATTGCATTATTTTTCTAATGCAATTGGTTGCATGTGAAAAAAGATTTTATACAATATATTGCAAGTTAAATTGGACAATATTTTGGTTAATGAGTTTTAAATTTAATTGAATGCCTTTACTTTCCAATCATCTTTGAAAATAAATTTATTTGCTAATTCTCCATTTTTAAGGCAATTTCAAATTGCTTATATGAACAACACGTTACCAAGTTCTAGGCACTTTTTTAAATCAGTTCAGTCGAAAAATCCAAAAGGAATAAAAACCTGGGGGTTTTAATTAGCTGGCTGAAATGAGAATGAAATAGTAATTTGATCAAATTATTCCGGAAAGTGCCAAGCTGAAGACTTGGAGTAAGTGCAACCGTGGAACGAAAACAACATGTTTGAAATTGCTATCTTTTTCGAGGCCCTTGCTCTTTGTGTTTCGAAAAAAAACGATGCGCAGCCCTGAATTTAGTACGCTAGTGGTTAATATGCATGGTCAAATTGGGACATCGATTTTTCTGGTAAACAAATTGTCTAAGAAATTGATAGTTTGATAGATTATTAATTTGATAGTTCTCGCAACTGATGCTGAGCTCTTGAAGTAGAGATTACGTCCTTGCTTAGTGTGACAGGTCTCTCTTCCGAGCCCGTGTAGCACCTGTGCTTCTACTCAAACTGAAAATAATCGGATCAGCTGTGACAGTCTGATCATCTGACTTCGTATCTCGTAGTCGACGACTCTGTAATTAAAATAATTTTTTCTTTTTTCGAGGCGTGTTTTTCATTCAACTTTACTGTCAGTTTTAGAGCTTTGGCCTTTTTTTACTTGCGTGTTTAACTTCTGTGTCCTAGAATTCAACGATGGAATGCAATAAAAACTGTTTTCCCCTTTTGTAAATCATATTGACATTGTTGCTGGTAACGCAGTTCCAATAACTTTTCTGAATTTTTGCACGAACCTAATTTGAAGAAAATTAAAGTTAATTAGATAAAAATATTTTCAAAATTTAAAAAACCACATAAATTTGTACTTTCAGGAGCTCAATTATCGAATGGGTCCAAAATTATCGGGGAGGGGGGTTGTTTCTTGAAAAAGTTTACGAAAGGATATTGAATTCCTGTTTGATAAAAACAGGTATTGTGGAAATGTATGAGTTTTTTTTTTTTAAACTTTTTTTTGAAGCTTTGAAATATTTTTTTATTTTTAGTTTTTGTCGAAAAATGAATCTTCGATTTCCTAACAAGTACTAATGGAAAGAACTCCCAATACCTTGCGTGCATGCATATACACTAAGTCTCTTTTAAGCGTACCCCACTTTACTGCCTTTCTTTTTCCTCGAAAACTACAATAAATCAATCTCAGATTTTAGGTTGAATGGATAGTTGTGGGGAGCTCTCCTGCATAAACTGTTACGCCCAATTTTGTTTTGAAAAGTTATCGTCCTCGGAAAAATCATATTCGTGATTTTTTGACCGTTTTTTAAAACTTTTTGACTTGTTTCGATAACTACCCTCCCACATCTGAGATTATGGGTTCAATCAAAAGGATGGTCTAGTGGGAAGCTCCTCTGCTTAAGCGGCTTTTCAAAAAAAAATTTTACAAAAGTTATGGACCTTGGAAATGTCAAAATTTTACCCTTTTTTTTTCTTGAAAACTTTTATAAAAATGAACATTTGAAATTTAAGATTATGACTTTAATGGAGATGACGGGTAGAAAAAAGCTTCCCTGCATTAATTGCAGCTCACAAAGTTTTTAACACATAAAGTTATCGCCCTCTGAAAATCATTTTTTTTATTCTTGTTCGTTTCATTAAACTTTTTGATATTCTCGAAAAATACCCTACCGTATTTGATATCAGGGGTTTAATTGAAGCGACAGGTAGCGTGAAGCCTCCGCGATAAGCGACTGCGCCTTGATTCTTTCTTAAAAATTGTTATATGTCCTTGGGAAAATTTCAAAATCTATAAAGTTAAACTCTTTATTATATTGGAAACAACCAAAGTTTTGGGTGAAGCCCAATTTTTGAAGTTTCCATTTTATCCAGCATCAGTACAATCAATTCAAAAACATTAAAAGGTATCTTCAGCTTGAGGTGAGCCCCTTTTTAAATCTAATTTTATATTAAAGCCACAAATATACGCCGCAGAGACAATAGCGATTATGTTTTTAGAGTGACTCGGTGAGCATAGCACCATCCTTGAATTTGGGATGCCAATGGCATCTGCCTCGATCCTGGTGTTGACATTTTTTCAAAATTTGAATTTGGGGTCCGTTTTTATTGGTGGACATTTATTTCTTTAAGTGAAATCATCTATCGCGGGGGGTAGTGGTGGTTCCGATTATTAAACACCTGAAAGTGCATGACGATCTCAAAGAAGATGTTTCTTTGCCTTTACCCTAAATTCCTCAAAAGCTAATTAAACTTGCACTGATTATCTTTTAATCTCCGTGTCTTTTGGGTGAAGTCCGACTACTTTTCTGTTTACCCTTTTATAATGAACAGAGAGGGTGTTTAAATCTAATCATCTAAGGAAGAGTATATGCGAGTTTCTGCTCAATTATTCATAAAAACCCTGTGAGGTTTTTTGGAATCTTAATGGGCGCTTTGTACTCTAACCCTAGCCCTAAAATTATACACCTCAGCTTAATTTCGCTAGTTTTTGGCGGCTAATGATGGTAAGAATAGCTAGCTGCTTCCCACTTTTAAGATTCATGTTCACATACGAAGCCACGCATGGACTCTTCACGTTGCATTTATGCTGCTGGTTTTGCCACCTTAGGTTTGTTTGCTTATGAATTTTAAGTGATCGGAGAAGAGCGACGAGTAATTTTTTATCACTTTTAATACAGGTTTGATTTTTGGCGAGCGGCTGCTTCGCTTCCTGAGACAGAGTGGACAAGTGTTTAATGATATCTTGAGTGTTACCTTGCAGCCAGTTTTGATCCAGAAGAGTTCCCAGTTATTGACGTGTGCGCTTCATGTCAGAGAGCAGACAAACAAGTTTCCGGCAAGTTTCCCTTTGATTATTTTCAACACAAGATCTATCAAAGGCTATTAAGCCTTCACAGGCATACTTCGTTATATTATTTCCCCACACTCCAGACAGTTGTTAAGATTCAATGAAAGTCCATTTTGCTCCACTTTTCTGAAATTGGGTAATTTTTATGAAAAAAGTGTCAATTATGAATTGTTCTTGAAATTTATTTTTTCGTTTTTGTGCGTTCGTTGACTCTTTTTCCAACTATCTGTTCGTTATATTTTCAGGGTTGTAAGTTGTCATTTTGCTTATTTTTTGATGAGGCGCATATGGTTTTTATTGTCGAAGAACAGCAAATTTTCAATAAATCTCAGCGGTATGAAAAAATTATTTTTCGATTCAGTTTTCAGAGGAAATACCCCATAAAGATTTCAAAAATAGTTTTCTTTTTGGAAAAATCCAATTTTTGAAGCTTAAATGAGCAATTTAACAAGTTATCATCACTTTATTTGGTCGAAATTAGACAAAACTTCAAACCGGTTTTTCTCGTCATTTTTAATGTCGTTCGGATCACGACTGAAAGGGCTTTAATATGATATATCACCCAACCCAGTCCGATAACTTATTGTGTTACCTGATTTGGCGTGGAAAACAAAAAGAAAAAAGTAAAACAATTACGATTTTGTGTTTGGATTTTGATAAAATAAAATTATATAATTAAAGTAAACTGAAACAGTAGATTGTGTTCACTGTAGGTCATTGGACTGGACTGTGAGTGGGGTTCGAACACTAAACGAATGAACGGCAGAACTGAGCAAACAGAAGATTTCTTGAATGCTTGCGACGACCTCGACTGGGTCACAGACACACTGGAAAAACTAGCATTGGTCCAAATTGCACTGTTCGATGGAACAGTTTACGTCATTCAAATGAAAAGTATTTTAGAAGAACTAGACCGTAATGAATCATCAGATGATGCATTGTCTTTGGCTCATTTGGCCGAAGTCCTGTCAGACGAAAAGTTAGTTATACGTAGACACAACACGCCGAACGATAATTTGACAGTGCAGCTTTTGTGGTCTTATTTGCAAATCCCCGCTCCCATAGTTTAGCTTAAATCAAAATTTGCGAGTGAAGTCTCGAAACTCTGTGGAAATATACCGGAGAAATATATACCCTGAAGTTCGGAAAAATTACATGTAATTCATAATTATTGCAAGGGTATTGCAATCGGGTACTAGACTTTTTCCCGTAAATAACTGTAGGCACAGAATGGTCAAATATGTAAGAATGGTGAATTTCAGACATGCTCATTTTCAGACATGCTTAATTTTTTGAAGTTTCCTAGTAAATTGGTGTAGTCCGTTTCCGGCGTTAGTTTGTTTTCAAATAAATTTTTAGAAATAATGTTGAGTTTTTTTCGGATTCGTGGTTTCGGCCTAATTTCCGTCGGTTCATTTCCCGTTTTTCAAATGAAGTTTGTTTTATTGGTACTTTTTTTCGGATTTTTTGTTAAGCGTGGGTTTTATTTTGATTTTAAATTTTTTTACTCTTGTTAAAAGTTTGTCGTTTGTTGAAGTTTCTTGTCTGATTCTTAATAATTTTATTTGTTATATAGTTTTTTTCGATTAAACGGATTCAATTTATTTTTTATGGCATAATGAACTTATAGTGCGTTGTTTCGAGGGAAAAAATTCCTGTTCCACAAAATCAGGTATTATTACAATTGCGAAAGCAAGTGTCTTGAAATCGGAAACAAGACTTTTTCCAGAAAACAACTTTTCTTACATTTTCTTCAACTTGCTTTTTTATTAAACCTTCATAACCTCCAGGCTCCTTCCCACTTGGTTTAGAGTTAACGCCGTCTCCTTTGTACACTTGTATTGCTTTTTTCCAGTATAGATTCAATTGAAAAAAAATAATGAATTGTTGGACTTCCTAACTATTTTTTTTTCTGCTCAACTTTTGTATGCTCAAAGATTGCCGGCTTTATTTCCTCTTTGTAAGTTTAATCCGTTGCTATTTTGGTTTTCGAATTTCTGGCATGGTAGCTTAGAGTGAACTTCTATCGAGACATAAGAAAGTATAACTTTTGGGAGAACTTGTTTTTTCAACGTTTGCCATTTTTTCGACTTAGTTTTTATGTTTGTTTTTAATCGCAAGTATTGCGAAGCTCCGCTTCGCCTGGTCAATGGTACAACAGCAGTTGGCCGTCTAGGGCTGAACAGCGTCGTGTCTTTGAAATGAAGTATGCCTAGGCTTGTTTTCAGAGTTACGAAGGTTGGCGTTGGTATTGATCTGGATGTGAAGAAAGTGTGGGAAGTTCTGAATCTGCATGTGGCTTCCTGGTTTGACTTGAGATATCTGGCGTTTGAGTTCAACCAGCTTAAATTGAGAGGGTTCGTTTTGACCAGTTTCAATCTTCCAGGAGCCAATCTAATTTGGGGACAGAGCGCGCGCTCAAAATAAAACGCTATTTTTACTGTAAAAAGTTGTTGAAGCTCGCATGTTTGCCAGTTTCATCAGAAAATATGCCAAAGAATTTCACTAAAAATGAAGTGGACTGCGTGTTTAAAAGAAGCATATGTTTAAATTGGAACTGGTGTTTAGAATGGGTCTTGCGAAACTGAGTGGGAATCTACTGGGGAGAGAAATGAGCAAGGAGCTGCAACTGTCCAATTGGGCACAAGAGTGTCTGACTGAAGACCAAATATGGTATGCTGCAAATGACGCACTCGTCTCCCTCAAGGTCTTCGTCAAGTTCTTCACACTGTTCCAAATCACAAAACAGAACAGCTTTGAGGACTTTGTGCAGAGGGTGCAGCCTTACTTCAACCAGAAGTATAAAATTCGGGTTAGTTGAGCGAATATGTTGTTGTTTTAGCCCGAAGTCGGGTTATGTTCGTCTGTCTCCGAGTTAAGCAATTTCACAGCATCTACCGGCCGAAGCCACAGGTCTGCAGGGGTAAGTAAGGGGAGGGGTTTTGCGGACAGCTGAAAAGGTGGCAAGTAGTGTGGAGTGCAAGGGAGCAGGTTGGACATAGCGGGGGAAGTGAGCTGTCTAGTCGGGAAAGGTAATGTTTAAGATCCGGCTGTATCCGGACCGGAGTTGGGAAAGTTTACAGCGGGTATTTCTGGAGAGTGATTGTTCTGATGGGTCAATTATGCGTGGAGGGTTACAGATAACCTTAGAGGGTGCGGATTGAGTGAGGAACTTGGTTGCTTGTTTTGTATGGTTTTAAAATGGTTTAAAATATTTACAAACAAAAGAGGAGACTTCGTCTCGGTTTTGAAAAGCTACGGGATGGTTTTCGTTCGGGAGTAGCTAAAAAAAGTTCAGTGGTTTCTTCTTTAAAGCATTTCAGAAATGTTGGGCGTATTTGGCGAGGAGGAAGGGAGTGAGTGTGGAAAAAACTGTTGGAGTAATGCGAACGTTAAGTAGAGATAAAAAATTTGGTCGAATTGGTGTTACATTTGAAAAAAAAACACCATTTGCGTTGACAAATTGTTTATTCGTACCATGTACTAACTTTAATCAGTTCGTTGCTCAAGGGAGCCCGCGAATCATATGGCTCTTCTTTTTTCCACAATGAAAGTGCTCAATTTGGTGGGGTTTTGTGGCTGCATTGGCAGTTTAATAGCATCTTTTCTCCAACTTATTAGTGGCTGGTGTTTGGTGTTTGTAAGCTCCAGTGGCGCATGTCTGAACGGTTGTTTACTTGTAGTCGACTTAGTTCCTGGTTGTGCTTGTGCGAGGATTGAGGATCGAAACCCGTTAGAAGTCTTTGTCTGACTTTTTTAAAGCTACTTCATGGAGTTTTGTTGCTGTTTGAGAAGTGCGCCTCTGAGAGGTTCGCCTCTGTGTAGAAGTTGGAAGATAACAGAAGACCTTAATAGTATTAAGTAATTGCAATTGTCGTTTTTAAATAGAAGTTCGTGCATATTTTTTGTTTTAGGAAAAAAAATCAAATGTTGCTCACTGCCATTTTCAATTTCTCAGTCCCTTTATTTTTTTTTTCAATTCAATTTTTCTTTTGATTACTTAATTTTCAATGGCTTGAAAAAGGTGAATGACTTCTTTTTCAAAAATTAACATCTCTAATTGTGTTAGCTTTATGAAGCTCTAGTTGTTCCGACTTTCGTAACGAAAGTAATGGAATATTTGTGCTCGAGTTGGGTTTTTTTCTTCAGACAAATTTCGACCTTTTAACTAGCCATTTTGACGGATTTTTTAAAAATAACATTCAAAAGGTGTTGTTGTCCTGAGCCGCGTTTGTTCCCTCGTGTAATCAGATCAGGTGGCAATTGGGGTCGACTGATATATCCTACTGAGCTCTTTCAGTGGTGATTCAAGTGGCATTAAAAGGTTGAAAAAACTCGTTTGGAAACTTCAGCGTATAAAAGAGCCAATGGTCGACAAAATTGGCACTTCCAATGATATTCAATCTTTTTTGAAACTCTTTGCGACTTTTTTGCAGAACGAACCTTTTATTTTGCTGCAGCTACTTCGCTTGTATGCTGTCTATAGTGGTCACGTATATGCAAAAAGATCATAATAAATTTTTGTTTTAGCAGCCTGACAGGTCACCCGAAAACTATTTGGATAATTTTTGTCAAAAGTGTTTTGGGTGGCTTATCCTCTAATTCGAATGTTGTACATATCTTTTGTTACGGAGGAAGAAGAATCTTAGCTCTGTCAATTAAAAGATGAAGTCATACAATAGATCGGGGGTCTTTCCCATTATAGCCGGCCTCATTTCACCCCGCCCCTGTGAAGATGAATAAATCACTATTTATTCATGTTTCTATTGCAGGGCGGTACGAACCCTTTCAACGGATCTTTGAATGCCAATCACTGTTCAAACAAGGTCACTGCCGCCCCAGGCAGTAGTGGTGTTGACAGTAAGTCAGTGATTCCTGTGAAATATTTGTACAGCAGCAAGAGTGAGATCTACTCCAATGGAAGTCTCCTCGCACCCGATGGTCAGCTACTCTGCACCTGCAGTATGAACAAACTCAAGTGGTACTGTGTGAAGGGACTGGGAGGTAGGTAAACAAAGTTGTTACAACTAACAAACAAAACTACTCACTGTCCAAGGTCGAAACAAGTCTGTCTTCCACAGATCTCTTTTCGTTTCGTAGTTTGAAGCCCTGAAGCAACTTTGTTGAGCAAAATATCACAAGCAAAGCATGGATTAGGAGGTTCTGAAATTTCATGTTCAAGCCAGTCTCAAATTTATAGCTGTAGTCTCAAATTGGATTGGATTGGTGCCTATTAGTTTGATTGCTCGATAATGAATGGGCGTGTTCCAGTTTGATTGATTGTTAGCTATTAGAATGAATTCACAGTTGGTGGAACTATCGCAACAAAACAATTTGAAGAGTTTCCGCTAAACTAAATCCCAGCATTTTTTCTAAGAACCAGTTTTTTATTATCCGATTATTAGATGGTGTACGAATATTTTGAAAAGTTGGATAGATCTGCGTAATCTGCAGTCATAGCTGCATTGCGAATACTTTCTCAGAAATATAAATTGATCTTTACTGTTCGTCATAACTACACAAACGAATCTTGTTAGTACGAAGGTTTTTTTTCTAACCTTAGTCGCTAATAAAAGTGTTCATTTGGTTGCTCTTTATATTTCAATTTAATCATATTTAAACTGTGGCTGCTTTGTTGGTGGCTAGTATTAGTTACATTACAAGCGGTCGTGGAGATGTCAGAACGTGATGCTCCTAATCTCAGTAAAAAGTTTTCAGGTGTATTTTTAATCTTTTCCTAGTTCGCCTGTTTGAGCTCTTTTTTGCTCTTCCTCGCTTGTGTTTGCGAAGCACAGCTTCGCCTCTGTGTTAATAAACATTCTATAAGCGACATGCGTCAGGAGCAGATGTTTCTCTTTAGAAACTCGTCTGTGGTTTTTAATTCGAACATTCCGATTTTCTGAAGATTGCTCTCTGCAAATGTAGTAACTTAGCTAAAAGTGAATCGTGTTTGTGCTGCCTCAAACTGTATCAAGAAAACTAATAAATCGTCAGATTGAATTAATTTCGATATCGTAGAAATATTTGGAGTCTCTCAGTATTTGGTCGATAATTCAAACTGTTCATAATGCTAATTTCATTAATTTAACAATTTTGTTCTGCACAGAGATCCAGCTTGTGTTTCAAGTTCACGCTTTGAAAGCACCGTTTGGAGAGGCAAAAACCTGTTAATCAAGGTCGGCCTGCCAAGCAATCAAGTTAAATAGCTAAAAAATCAAAAAGGTTTTTAGAGGAATTGAAGCCGGTTGTGGAGCGTTTTTATTGTGCTCCATGTTTGGCTCATGTCTGATTACGCTTGCGATTTGCAAGCGTTATCAAATCGGAATATTATTTTTTTTTGGGTTAACAACAAGTTAATCAAAATCACTGAGTCATTTGTGCAGCATTCAATTCTGCAGCAAACATGCTCAATTTCTTGAAAATTCTATCAACAAAAATCATCGCCCTATCAGTTGTCTGCTTATGTTTTGTCGATTTATTTTCCTTGTTTGTTATCTTTCTTGTGCTGTAAGCTTATTTTAAACGAAAATGTCTTGGATTCTTTTATTACTCTTGCGAAAAGCAAGGGTAGTGCAATCGGGTATTAGCCTTTTTTCCCCGTAAATAACTTTGTTCACAGAATCGTCGAAATTATAAATTATAAATTAAGGTTCGTTTCTTTAACTTCGAGCAGCTAGTGTATTAGTACGAAGCTACTTTTTTTCTGACCTAACACGGTTTTACCAGTGTTCATTGTTCATTCTCGTCCGTGGCTGAGTGATTAGTGCGTGAGACTCTTAATTTCTTGTTTTTAGGTAGCAGTAGGTAGTAGGTTCTAATCCATGATGTAGCCGAATTTTTACTAATCGAGACTTATTTCTACTTTTTCTTATTGCATTTTATAGAGCTGCTTTTTGTCGTTTTCTCGTTGGTGTGTACGATGAGATCGCACAAAATGCTTAAGTCTTAAGAGAAGTTTTAAATCAAGTTTTTCATGACAACAATTTTTTCAGAATTTTTTTTTCATTTCTTGGCTTTGTGTTTCGGCCTATACTATATGGGTTTGATGGCCTCATATAGCGTCTTTTGACGAGCGAAACAAAATTCTGTGTGCGCGTGTGGTTTGAAGTTGACGGGACTCAATAATTTTTCTTTAGTCTTGGAATTGTTTTTCGGCTTTATTCGTCTTTTATTTCTTTTTATTTGGCTCAATAGGTTTCGGTCTATGATATATCGGCTTAGTAGCCTCAAATTGCTTCAGTTGGCGCGCAACTAAATTTTTGTGTTCGTGTGTTTTGAGGACGAGTGGGACTTGTTAACTTTTTATAAGCCTTATTTTTAGTTTTTTTTTTCGGTTTAAAGGGTTTCTGCTAAGATGTTTTTGGCTTTGTTACCGCTTGGTAATTTAATACCGATGCTTATTCCACAACCTATTATCTTGGCATGTCTTTGGTTGAAAATTAGCCTAATTCATTTTGATAGATCTAGTTTTTCGCATTTTCGAATTTTTCGTTCTATTTTTTTCCGACCTAGCGGTTTTTTGTTTCGTATCGCAAGCGGTGCGAAGTGTGGCGTTTTGCCAGGTTGGGAGACATTGGTTCTTTGTCGTGCTTGTGAAAAAGGGTGAAACTACATGTTATAAAGATTTTTTTGGATTCGAAGGGGATGAATCGTGCATTTGTTGATAGTTACTAGAGACTACTAATGAAAATAAAATCGTGGATTAATCGTGGAACAGTTCTTATAACTCTGGAAGTTTCACCTTTTTCTGAAAGTTAACATTTGTTATTGAAAAGTCATGCTTAAGGCGTGAAAAGCTGTACGATCGAAGAAAAAAGCGGAACAATCTTTGTAAAATTTAATGGGGAAATTGATTTAAATGAGGCGAGCTCTGCTATTCGTGATTAGGAAGGGAGAAAAAGGATTAAAAAAATTACATCATGATTTTCCTGATAACCTATTTTTGGAAAAAATCGCATGCTATTTCAAGTTGAGTTTTATCGTTCTTTTAACAGGTGATTGAGTTGGTAAGAGGTCCTTGTCTCGTGTGAGTCATATCGTTGCCATGCATTTTTTTGTCATGGAAAAAATTTGCTAAGGCTTAATAATAATAATTGCTTTTTGGATTTGTTGAGGGTTTTTATTTAGTGGAAGGCTCTTTGGTTACAAAAATAAGCAATTGATAATAGGGTTAGGATGGGAAGGAGAATATGTCAATGGACTTTCTGTCCGATTAGGGCTTTACGCGGATTTATTTTGCATCTTAGCAAAAAGAATCCACTAGTTCTCGGGTTCCGTTGGTTGATAATCTTTCAATCTCAGAGTGTTTGTGTGCTTTTATTGAGTTTTTGTTAACACTTGCGAACAAATGCTATCAAATTGCCAAACAATTCAGCAAAAGTGGCACCAAATATAAATGGATTCAATTTTGCAAGTAATAAATGGATTATAACAAACTGAAGGCATCCACACTAACTTTGCATGTAACAAATTGCAGAGCATAAAGCCACATTATGTATAAATGATGCATTTTAAAAAAATTGCTAGATACATTGAGTTACAAAATTTCGCTAATAGCTTGTTTTGAATTCAGATAACATAAGAGCATTCTATTTGACGGCAACTTTTGACAAAATTAAACCGCGACAGCACAATTAGCTTTTCTCGAATAATTTTTTGTGCAAGACAAAGTCCTGTAAATTTGATGTTAATGCACCATTTTTGTTCGCTTGATTTTGGTAGAGTTTTTGGTATCGTCAGACATTTATAGTTGTTTCAATAGCTAAGGTATCCATTTATGAAGTTTGAATTACCAGTTGCCGAAGCTTAACCCGAATCCTAGACCGTAAGTAAGATCGTATTGATAATCATTGCTCATCATTTTTCTTTAGAACTCAATTTATGACTGTTTTTTTTTTGAATATTGATGAAGTGATTCTTTCACATGTGCTTTGTTCTGAGTTAAAGACTCCAAAGAAATAACAGAAATTGAAGAACATAGCTGTATTTCTATACTATTGTCAGGCAGATTGTGGGATTATCAGTTCAAAGATATTCATAAATAGTTAGTGAAATTAAGATGAGCTTAATTACAAAAAGGGGATCTTGCCTCGTTCGCTTGCCTCTCAGTCAATGTAAGAGAGATATCTTGGACAATCGTATGTTATTGAGATTTTTTAAAATCTTCTATTTGTCTTTGAGAGGAGTTTCGCTGCTGTACCGCTTGCAAAACAACGGGTTGGTTTTTGTCTAGCCTGCCCAGAAGGAATGTGTCGTTTGTAACCGGAAGGTGTTAATCCGGCATTATTGTCCAATAAACATGTTCACATTATCTAGCCCTTTTCGTAGAAACCTTTCATTCCAACATATCCTCCCCCTTTTGCCATTATGAACTATGTAAACTGAGTGTGGTGGTGGGTGTGGTGTGTTGGTTGTAGAGTGGGTGGATGATAAACGAGTGAAGTTGTTCTTTGAGCCTGCCAACAGACCCTCCGAGGACAGCGAGTACTACCGACTGCCCAAGAAGAACATGTGTGTGGTGTGTGGAAGAGATGAACACATGCTGCGCAAAAACGTCGTCCCTGTCGAGTACAGAAAGTGAGTACTCTCTGCTGTCGCCATTCTAGTCCAACAAGCTTCACTTCATCACTTTACTCATTCATTCTCTTTTCACGCAATCCAGTTCATTTTTGTTAACTTAATGCCACATTGTTAGCAATCTCATCGATGATCTTGAGCAATTTAATCGGCCAAAAAGAAGCATTTCAGGTCATCTAGTTTGATGGATACGGCTTTTACGGGTGGAAATCAATTTCCTTTTGGAATAAAAGGTTACTGATGACGTAGCAATGAATGAAGCCAAGACATTTATTTAGATTGTGTGGCTTTTTTTGGTTTTTTTTCAGGAAAACGTCCTAAAATCTGTTAACTCTCAAGCTGGGTTTTTCGCGTTATTACTTTTGACAATTTTTTTTTAGTTAAAATCAAATTTATTCAATTCAAAAGGAAAGAAAATTACGCTCTCCAAAAACTATCGTTTGCGCAAATGCCGCAAAAGTGATTTAATTGAAGTTAAATTTCAAAAAAGTACATCCATACTTAGTTTCATTAGCGGAATAAAAAGTTCACATGCTGGTCAAGTTTTCTCATTTCGTTAGTTTTTTTCCATAAAGTGTCAATTAAAAATCTGGTAATTCAGTTAGCTGTAAGCGACACATTTGTTTCTTTCAAATTGCAGGACGAAAAATGGTCAAAAATAACATGTGTTATTTTTCGGATTGCTTGTTCATCGATCGACATTGTTTTGTGTTGTGTTGACTTTGTTTGTTGTTTGTTGCAGACACTTTCCGGACTCGATCAAATCGCACCAGTCGCATGACACTCTGGTGTTGTGTGTGGGCTGTCACGTGCAGAGCAACTGGCACGACCTGCGCATGCGAAGGGAGCTGGAGCGGGAGTGTGAGGCACCCATGGGGGCCATAGTGTCCCTAGTGAAGAAACAGCCCCCTCTGCTGCTGAACAAGGCCATACATGCAGCCAGGTAAACTGCTGCAGACCAAAGCCACACTTAGAGTCCTCTAGCTTCTTCTTACACAGTTTGTTACACTTGCACTCTTCAAATCAATTTTAAGCATCTTTTTTAAATCTAGCTGCTCGAGCAAGTTCATCAAAATTATGCCGATGTCAATTTTAAATTGAATTAGTTGGAAACTGTCAACAAACGAAAAAGTTAATAAGGGTAATTGACCAAGCTTCAGAAAAATGTGTATATAGCAATTACAGCAGCGCTACCACTACAAAAGCTTGCAAACTGAAATAAATCTTGTTATCTGTAGCAAAGATGACTTAACCAGAAAGATCGTCTTTGCTTCTGGAACTCGAGTTAATGTTAATTGCGTACTGGAGTTGAAATAAATAAATAAACAACATTGGGCGTTAAGGGCGTTGGTTGCACACATGGACACTATGCCGCAGCAGAGAATAGAGGAGTTGAAACTTCCTGTGGTTGAGTTTGTGAACAGCTGCGAGGCAGAGGCTCTCAACCTGGATGCCAACATCACACTTCACACTCTTCAACATGTTGCCAACATGAAGCACCAGTCAGTCCTTCCTGTGCTAATTGAACAAATTGAACATTTTTATTTTAAAACGTCAATAAAAGAGTAGATTTTGATTTTTATCCATGATTTTTTTCTCAAACGATGAGTTGATTTTTTTTGACAATCCGGCAATCCGCCTCCAATATTGTTACGTTGCTAGCTGTAATTTTTAAAGCTCAAAAAACAACATTTAATAATGTCATGTGAATATGCAGGTTATACAAAAATAGTGTCATATTGGGATTATAACACGGGTGCTTTGGTTTGATTGTGGTGATTATTTCTCGGAGTCAGAGACCCCTTCGTGTTTCTTCATGACATTTTCTTAATTTCAAAAAGGCATCTGGCCTAACTGTTGAGAATATATGGTTTTTTCACAAACATGAGTTTTTTCCAGAGACTGCATATTGCATTCTGTTGCCAAAAAAGATATTTCCAAAACTATAACAATTACAACATTAACGTATATATTGTGAATATATTTTCCTATTTGCTGATTTCAATTCTGCTGTAGAATCGTGCCTAAATAAGACACATTTTGAAACAGAAACCCGAAGAACGAAGCACTAGAACCGCATGGGCTGAAAGTGTGTCGCAGCTTTGTGGAGAGAGGACTGGGCTTGGAGGCTCTGAAGCAGAGGTGGAGAGCACACTTCAAAGAGAGTATGAAGCCACAGTACCTTCCCGATCTGTGGTGTGTCGAACACAGACCCAAGTACAAGGGCCAGTTCATCGATGACTGCTCGGCTGAAGTGCTGCAGTACCTGGAGAAGGGAGGAAAGTACCAGGACTGTCTCAAGAACCCTTGATGTTGCATCGGGCAAAGATTGCAGGCAGATAAAACTATTTTGAAAACAGTAGCTTTTTTGAAATATTTTTGTTTTCATCATTTTATTAAGAGTCGATGAATGTAGATCAGACTCTTATATAGGTCGTGATCATTTTCCAGGAAAAGTCTTAAATGCTCTGGTGACAACAGAAAGTGCATTCATACATATTAACGCTTTTTTGAATGCCCTCACGTATATGTGCATTTTTTGAGTTCAATCGAAATTCATCTGCTGAAAATGACGGAAATAGCACTCTCCAAATACAAACGTGGAAATGGCGCAAAAAAACGTGATCGATTTCTAGTTTCAAAAGTGGAATTAGGTTCTTAGACTTCCAAGCGGAATGAAAATTTCACCTAACACTCCATTTTTCTCGAATTGGGTTAATTTTATCAGAAAAAAAACAATCATAAATTATTCTTTTAATTCAATGAGCTTTAAGACCGTACATTTTTTTGTTTTAAACTGGAAAGGTTTTTCAAAAAACGAGTCAGTTTTTTTTCTGTTTCTTTGCGTTCATTGACTCTTTTCCAACTGTCTGTTGGCTATGTTTTATGTTTTAATGATATCAATTAAACTTGTTCATTTATTCGTTCTATGAGATTTATAGCAGCTGTTCTACTCGTAATTGAACGAAATTTGAATTGTGAGCATAATGTGGATAGTGTTTGATGTACCCCTGATGACCTGTCGGAGTTAAAGGGCTTTAAATAGTGAGCGTTATTAATGTACTTTCCCGAGCTGCCCAGACCAGAAATCGTGTTGTGTTTCCCGAGCTGCTCCGAAATTGTGTTGCTTTTCCCGAGCTGCTCCTAAATTGTGTTGCGTTTCCCAAGCTGCTCCGAAATTGTGTTGTGTTTCCCAAGCTGCTCCGAAAACAGCTCGGGTGTTGCGTTTCCCGAGCTGTCACGAAATCGCGGAAACTGCTTTGTTTTACTTACGGTCTTCTTACTCAAACGAACATGCTAGCTGGGACATACCAGTTTGCTCTCATGGATTTAATAATAGGAGTTTTTATCAACTTGATTATATGTTTACACAAGCGAAGCGTAGTATATTAATAGGAAGATTTTTTTCCAACCTAAGTCGCAAATGAAAGTGCTCAATTGGTGGCACTTTTGGTATAATTCATTTTAATCATATCTAAAAATATTTAAGCATAAGCACTCAAAAAGCATATGCTGCTGCTTTTTTTGCCTAGTGTAGGTACTGTTTGAAAAAAAGTAGGTATTATGAAAATGTATGGGTTTTATTTTTTTTGCGAAGCTTTGAAAATTGTTGTACTTTTCGCAGGTATTTCAATTTTTCTCAAAAACTACTCTACCATCTTTCAAATGAAGTAGGAATGAAAAAACAGGCTGCTTTTCTTTGTTCCTGCGTTTTCCGCTAGTCTTTTCATTTTACCACACGTTCTACGGCCTTCGAAAATTTCAGTAGAGGGATTTTTGACCTATTTCTTTTGATTTTTTTTTCACTTTCTTAATATTAATAGCACAAATCCGAGATGAAGGTTTCAATGAAACGATTAAATCATGGGGATATCTCTTTCTGTAACGGCCATTCCCTAAATTCGGTCGAAAAAAGTTGTCACCTCAAACAAGCACATTTTTTGACATTTTGTTAGTTTTTAAAATATTTTGTTTTTTTTCTCAAAAACTACCCTGCTAAATCGGAGATTAAGGGTTTAACTAAAAGAAACACAGCGAGGTATGTGAATGTTCCCTGCGCAAGCGGCTATACCCCGCGTAAAGTATGGCCTTGAAAATGTCCAATTTTTAGAGTGCTTGTTTCTTGGAAACTTACCTGCTCATTCTAAGATTGATAGTTCATTCATACTAACATGGTGCTTCCCTTTCCACTGTGCAATCTGTTTTACCCTATTTGTTTGTAAAAGAGCTGATATGTTCTTCGCGAAACAAAGTTTTTTTTAGAATTTTCATCACTTCTCGAAAATTACTAGCTAAATCTGATATCAAGGGTTCAGTCTACATATCAGAGATCAGCGTGTAAACGTCTTCCCTGCATAAAAAGCTATTCCCATGCCCTGGTACAGAAAATTTCGTGGTTTTAGGGCAAGTCAAATTTTTGAGTTCTGATAGGTTTTCTTTTCACTTTTTTTTCGAAAACTATCCAGCCAAATCTGATTTAAAGACATCAATTGAAAAAGCAAGTAGTTTTTTTCTCATTAAAATAAGCCGCTAGTCTCTTACTCAAACAGAGAAATTACTAAGCTTTGCGTAAAGTCTATTTTTTCTGAAAGTTACGCATTTCGGTATTAGTACAAAATATGATTAAAATTATTCAAACAATTGAATCCAGCAATAGCTGGGCCACTTGTTAATTTCCAAGGAACCGTGGCGCAGTTGCGATACGCCTAATCAACAGGGTGAAAGTTCAAATCCGGAATTTTGAATTAGTTTTATTTTTTTAATCGAATTTTAGCTGCGTGGCATTTGCAATTTGATAAAACATTGCTCTTCTTTATTGGTGGCTAGTGTTGGTAAAACTACAAGTGGTTGTGGAGCAGATGTTAGCACGTGATATTCCTAGTCTCACAAGCTTTTTTCCTGAAGCTGTTTTTTAAAAGTTTGTTCCTTTAATTCAGGTTGTTTTGCCTGTTTAGAGCTCCTTTATGCATTTACCTCGCTTATGTTTGCGAAGCGCGGCTGCGCATCTGTGTTCATCTTGCTATAATGTTGGAACTCAATAATTTTAAACAACAAAACGAATAAAGCTTGAAGTTCAAATACGTTTTTCGTAAATTGGGTTGATTTCAGACAAAAAATGATCAAGACCAATCTTGCTTAAGAATTAATATAGTACAATTTGTTTTGCGAATTTGGGGTCAAAAAATTTACCCAAAAAATTATATTTTCGGCTTTGTTTACTCAATCAGATAATGTTCCAAACCTATTAGTTTATTTACTGACATGACTAAACCACTGCAATTTTCTCATGTAGGCCACCAAGTTTTACAAAGGTTATGTTTTTATGATTTTCTCAATTTTGTATAAACTTAATTATTTTCGCTTGATAGACAAAAATGTCATTTTTACTATATAAAGCAACAATTTTTTTAAATAAAATTTTTAAAAATCTTTTTGCGCCATTTTTTGGAGACTATACACTTGTTAAACTTTGGTGGTCTACAAACGACTAATGCAGTGATGTAGTCGTGTCAGTAAATAAACAGATAGGTTTGGAATATTATCTGAGTGACTAAACAAATCCAAAAATGATCAGTTTTGGGGTAAATTCTTAGGCCTGAATTTCGCAAAACAAATTTTACCATATTTATGCTGGTAAAAATTGAAGCAAGATTGGTCTTCATCTTTTTTTGCTTTACCGGATAATTTAAATCAGCATGGTATTCAGCGGTGAATTTATTCTGATCAAGCTCTAACTCATTGCTATCGACATGATAAAATTCAGATCAATCGGTCTACCCAATCATCACTCAAGGACGCTTGAAACGCATTGGAACCTGATCTAAACTACATTTTATGATTGGATAAATTAGATATTTTACCAATGTAAAGTATTTAATATTAACCAATCATGATCCATCTGACTAACAATCCACTTATTTGTAAGTGCTGAAATTACTTGTAATTTCAGCACCAGAGAGATTTGAATTTAACTTAGAAGTTAGTTGAACTCTCCCGAGTACTTCAGCAGCCGCAATAAACCAGTATACCCTAGATCTATTGAGCCTAGCAGAGACTAGTTAAACAACCTGAGACTAGATAGTATAAGAGTAAGATTAGGATCGGTATTAGACTAAGAAGTTGCACGAATCTATCCGGCCGAAAATAAGATAGCGTGACGAGCAGACGGTGTACCCTATCCGAAATTACTCTATGAGTTATACACTTCGGTCATAACTCATCTGGTGCGACCATAAGTCTCGAACAAGACCTTAATAGCTTATAATTAACCAAAAATAGATTAGAATTTAGACAAAACATTTTTAAAATGTTATACGACAATAATTTAATCGAAATGTCTCTACGACTCAATAGATCAGAGCCAATATTCCGAACGATAACAGAACTACCCGGAATTGGAAGAAGACCTCGAACCAGAGACGACATACGACAAAGCAGAAACTTACCATATAGTTATATGATAGTTCGGCAAAAGCCAGAACAAACTTTTGTATTTAGAATACTACTAGCAATGAATTTAGATTTTCATTTGCAAACATAAAATTTTGAAGTCAATCTTCAAAATCATTTCAGGCGCTAAACAAAATTATTAATATACAATAACGATTGATAAAAAGATCTCAGATCGTTTTCCTAAATTCTGCAGTAATATACAAAACATGTTTGAAAAATATTTATTGAAAAATCAAAATAAAAATTAGCAGCATGACAATAAATGGTTAGTAATTATAAATCATCCTCTTGTTCCAGCTTCATCACCTAAACATAACAGCATTCATAAGCTCACTAATATCATAAAAATACTAAATCTTTTCCTTACACAAATTTAAATCATTTTAAAACTTAAATTCACTTAATTGTAAAATCAGATCATCAAGGCTTATCCTTGGATCTTAAATCATTTTCTATTTAATTAAATTTAAAACTTGATCATCAAGGCCTATCCTTGGATCAAAAAGAACAACTTTGTTCTCCCCCACCCACTTAACTAGTGTCTAACGACCTCAAACGTCGATTCACTATCCAACCCTTTCTAAAAACCCAGGACTAATAGAAATTTTTGAACAAAACTAATCATTCAAATTAGGATAAACAGTGAAGAACTTCGGTTATTCATCCTTCACTTGATCCCCCCTCTTACCAGACCCAGGATAAATCTTAGACTTAGTAAGTTTAAAATAGTATCTAACGAACTACTCGCGTTCTAATTATACCTGAACCTTGTGGATCGATTTACTATTCTCCAACCCTGAACACAATCACTACCCTTAAGTAAGATTAAGTAAGTTAACACCTTAGCTTATACTAGCCACGAGAAAGTATAAAATCATTCTTCGGAATCGATATACTTTTCTCTCCAACCCTGAACAAATAGACCCAGGTTAAGCTAACCAAAAAATCGTAAGGACTAACAGTTTAAGCAAATAGAAATCATTTAACAACCTTTTGCATCCGTCATCCTAAACCTTATGTCATTTAAAAA